AACCACTGAACCACACTGGCCGGGCTAATAACTTTTTTAATGATATGGAAGGCTGTATCATTCATAGTTTTCAGAGAGAGGGAGAGGGGGAATGTTATTCTACCAGCCAAGAAGACTCAAATGGATTTGAAAGTCCAAATTCGGAGCTTTGTTCATCTCTGTCCAAATGCCCCTTACTAAGTCTGAGAGTCCTACTCCTTCTCAACAGTGCCCTTATTCCAGCATAAGGGATTTGGTGGGGTTGGGTAGTCACCTAGTGTTGCAACTCTATACCATATCATCAGGTCTTGGGCTTGATCCTTAACCATATCTGCCATGTGGTCACATAAAATAAAGATTCCTTAAGAATTCCATAGAGGCTGTTGGGATTGCCACCCAAACCTTAAGTTAGAAGTTCATGATCTTAACCTTATCTTTTTCTCATGTAATTTTGCTAGCACAATCAGAAGCAGGCTGCCCAGCCAGGCTGGCATGGCTCAGTGGTTGAGTGTTGACCAGGAGGTCAAGGTTCAATTCCCAGTCAGGGCACATGCCAGGGTTGCAGGCTCTATCCCCAGTGGGGGGTGTGCAGGAGGCAGCCAATCAGTGATTCTCTCTCATCATTGATGTTTCTATGCCTCTCTCCCTCTCCCTTCCTCTCTGAAATCAATTTTTTAAAAATCACTCTTCTCTAAAAAAAAAGAAAAGAAAAGAAACAGGCTGCCTACCCAACAATATATGTAATCATTTGAAATCACCATTTGTGACCATAGCGGTCAAGTGCCTCAGCGTTTTATCTCATAATATCTTTCCCTCCACCAGCATTCCACTCTAGACGATCACTGATGAGCGTCTAAGTCAGCGGTTCTCAACCTGTGGATCGCGACCCCTTTGGCGGTCGAACGACCATTTCACAGGGGTCGCCTAAGACCATCCTTCATATCAGATATTTACATTATGATTCATAATAGTAGCAACATTACAGTTATGAAGTAGCAACGAAATTAACTTTATGGTTGGGTCACAACATGAGGAACTGTATTTAAAGGGCCAGAAGGTTGAGAACCACTGGTAAGTGATTGTGATGCTTCTCATGCTCCAGATTATTAGTGTCCTCTTGTTCTATGCAAAGAAATTATCTGTGTGCTCATCAAACATATGAACAACCCAATCCTAGGATCCCATTTTGGGAGTCTATTTCCTTGGATCTCCTCTGATACATTTACTGTATCTGTCAGGATCCTTGCACAAAACAAATGACACACTCTAAAAGTTTAACCAGAAAGATTTTAATAAAGAAACTATTTAAGAGGTGGGGGTCAGGATTAAGGAACCAACGGGGGATGGCGAAACACTCAGGGTTTAACAAATACCAGGAAATTATTACCATACTAATGCCTGAAGGAGTAAGAGGAAGGAACAGTGTTTCAGGGGCCTTAGAGGCAGACCAATGCAGAGGAGGCAGCCCCAAAGGATCTGTAATGGTGATCAGTGCTTCTCACCGTTCAGCACAGATAAGAGTCCCTGGAGGGTGTGTTAAAATGCAGATTACTCCACTAGGTCTGGAGTAGGACCTGAGGATTTGCATTTCTAATAAGTCCCCAAGTGCTGCTCCTGCTGCTGCTGCTGTCAAAAGACCACTCATTGAGAGCAACTGCCCCAGAGGAAATTGTTCACTTTCAGAACTGCAGCAAGAGGAAGGATTTGTGGAATTCATACCCCAACCTCTCTCTACTACCACCCACTGATCTCCTGCTGCTGCCTCCTGTGGGCCAAATCCAAACAGAAGCTGGAAGGCAAGGGGCCTTGAGTAATGCTGTATGTAAAGGTCAGCCTTCCAGAGTACAGAGCAGGGCACAGAAGAGTGGAGAATGGGGTGGGGGTGGGGGAGGATAAGTGGGACAAAAGAGACTAATCAGAACCACTATAAGAAGAAGATGGATAGATCAATAGAAAGATGGCTAGATGAATTAACTGACAAATCCTATAGAATAAAGAGGTAATATGCAAATTGACTGTTACACTCTCACACAAGATGGCCACCCCCATGTGGTCACAAGATAGCCGGCAGAGGAGGGCAGTTGGGGGTGACCAGGCCAGCAGGGGAGCAGTTAGGCATTGATCAGGCTGGCAGGGGAGTGGTTAGGGGGTAATCAAGCAGGCAGGCAAGCAGTTGGGAGCCAGCAGTCCTGGATTGTGAGAGAGATGTCCGACTACTGGTTTAGACCTGATCCCTATGGGGATTTTCTGGCAGTCAGACACCCCCGAGGGGTCCCAGATTGGAGAGGGTGCAGGCTGGGCTGAGGGACAACCCCCCACCCCAGTGCACGAATTTTGTGCACCGGGCCTCTAGCATTTCCATAAAAGGGTACATTATAATAATGGTTAATATTTAATGAATGCTTATTACATGCCAGCCTAAACTAAGTCCTTTACTCATATTACCTAATTTATTTTCAAGAAGTAGGTCTATTACCGTTCTTTTTATTAGAAGCACTAGAAATGGACTCTTGGATGTACTCTTTAGTCCCTCACTGCAGCTGCTGTTGTGAAGGACACTAAGATACAAAAACTGGATCATTCGCACATGGTCACACAGCTAGCAAGTGGTAGGATCTGAATCCCAACCCAGGCGTGCTATCTGTGGAGTCTAACTCCTCTGTACTCATCTATGATTAACGGACAGGTGGTAGGCAGGCAGTATAGGACAGTAGAAGAGTGTAAATTTTACAGCAAAACACACCTAGATTCAAGGCAGTTGTGCCCCCTTCCCTAGGTCGTTTTTGTTGTTGTCGTTAAGCCTCACTTGAGGATATTTTTCCCATTGATTTTTCAGAAAGTGGAAGGGAGGGGGGATAGGGAGAGAGAGCAGGAGAAGGAGAGGCGGGGAGAGAGAGGAGAGTGGGGGAGAGAGAAATATCAGTGTGAGAGAGACACATTGATTGGTTGCCTCCTGCCCATGCCCCAATGAGGATGGGGATGGAACCTGCAACCCAGGTACGTGCCCTTGACAGGGAATGGAACCAGCAACCCTTTGGTGCACAACTGATGCTCTAACCACTGCACCACGCCGGCTAGGACCCCCTTCCCTAGGTTTATCCCTCATCCTCATTCTGTTCTTTGTGGTTCTTCGCTCTGGTGCAGGTGGAAAAGAAGGCTTCTTGGTGCCCTCAGAACACGCATGGAGCCTGGGGTAGCCCCCAGATCCTCACAGTGCCTGCCCATCCATCATGTGGGAACTATCCTCCCTTGTTTGCTGTGTGACCTAGTACTCTAAGTCTCATTTCCCTTATGTGTAAAACAGAGGTAATAATATGATAATAATAAAAATTACTTTATAGTTTTCTTGAGAAATCTAAGCAAGACAATAGTGGTAAAGTCCTTAATACGGACTAAATTACTATATTGACTAGAATATAGTAAACAAACACAAATGCTAATACTGCTACTATTATTATTGCTATTATTGTTATTATTAATGATGGAAAGAAAGATAAGTTAAAAACTTCTGAGGGAATCACCACCCCATCCGGAAGAGGGTCCAGAGCTTAGGTGGGCTGATTGAATGGGTATCCCACAGATTAATTTCTCTCTTGAGGCCTTCTCTCCTGGCCTATCTCTAGTCTTTCTTGTAAGGATGGGAAATCACTTGTCCCCTTCCCCATCTGTCAATTCCTTGAAATTTGGAAATGTGTCTGAATATGAGCTGGCCAGCCCCTCTCCTTAGAAATCCCCTCTTGGTTCCCAGGATCGAGAGGAGGGGAAAAATGAAGGGGGCTATTCCGGGCCAGGCCCCCTCCAGCTGTTGCACTGACCCAGGTGTTGGGCATGTGAAATTGATCGATAGAGAAAGGGGCAGAGCTCACTGAGCCAGGAAGCTGAATCCCAGAGGTCTGACATGTGGGATGCGGGTGCTGGGCCTCCTTCCAAGGAGCATGCCCTTTCAGCTCTGCTTGTCTCGAGGGAGGGCCTAGTTCCCACATGATGGATGGGCAGGCACTGTGAGGATCTGGGGGCTACCCCAGGCTCCATGCGTGTTCTGAGGGCACCAAGAAGCCTTCTTTTCCACCTGCACCAGAGCGAAGAACCACAAAGAACAGAATGAGGATGAGGGATAAACCTAGGGAAGGGGGTCCTAGCCGGCGTGGTGCAGTGGTTAGAGCATCAGTTGTGCACCAAAGGGTTGCTGGTTCCATTCCCTGTCAAGGGCACGTACCTGGGTTGCAGGTTCCATCCCCATCCTCATTGGGGCATGGGCAGGAGGCAACCAATCAATGTGTCTCTCTCACACTGATATTTCTCTCTCCCCCACTCTCCTCTCTCTCCCCGCCTCTCCTTCTCCTGCTCTCTCTCCCTATCCCCCCTCCCTTCCACTTTCTAAAAAATCAATGGGAAAAATATCCTCAAGTGAGGCTTAACGACAACAACAAAAACGACCTAGGGAAGGGGGCACAACTCCTCACTCTGGCCCCCAATCCTGACCACCCCTGAAGGCCAGCTCTGGGGTTGATCATGCAAATGCCACCAATGAGACAATAGTGCATGCTCTCTCAAAGGAGCTAGTACAAGGTCACATTCTGGCTAGACTGCTTAGATTCTCAGAGCTAAAGCCAAGGCTGCTGAGGGGGTAGAGCGGGGGGAGAGGGAGGGAAAGC